CAGCGCCCTGTGGTGCATGTCTCCACCCCGCATTGGGATCTGCCGTTGGTGCTCGAGGCTCTGGTCACATAACCATTTGAGCCTCTTGAGCTCTCCTTCCTTGCGTGTCAGTTTTCAACTATCAGGGCGTCCCATTGACTTGCATAGAGCTCCCTGAATATTGGTAATAGACGAGTTGGGATCGTGGCGAAATGCTCTCCGCAGATCCATTCTCACAGCGTTTATCAACCTTTTTCTTACTCAATATCAAGCCACACTGATTGTTTTTACTTATTTATTTTAAAGAATGCTGGCTATTGTGTTTCGCAACATGCTCTATGGCACGTCTCTACTGGGAATTGTAGTTTTAAAAGACGTTTTCGTATTTCCCATAATAAGAAGTTGCCAGTATTAAACTGTGTCCATCCCTGGAGGTTTAGGGGATAGAAAACACTCAAATTTAAAACATATAATTAATAAATGGGTGGACATAATGGGCAGCATTAATATATACCCACATGACAGCTAAGGTCAGAAGAGCTTTATTTAACAGCTGGTCTTATGTCTGTGACCCCTCCTGTTGTTAATTGATAAGCCTGAAACATGCACTTGTCAAGGTTCAGAGGCACATTTTGCAAATATGGCAGTAGCCATCGATCATCTTAAGATAAGATATACTTTATTGATCCCAAGTTGGAAACATTTGCGTTACATCAGCATGTGTAACAGTTGTAAATATGCAGTGGTGTTTAAATCATTTAGTATAATCACACAAATTCTGTTTTATATTTAATAATTCTGTGTTCTTTATTTATTGAATGTTCAATACCTGACAAGGTCGGAGATGAACAACTTGGGTCGCAGGTTCCTCAACAGTGCATTACAAGACATCTATCGATATGTGTATACCTCCACCGTCGTATTCTGCACATTTCTTATACTATCTCCATACATCTTATAAGAGTATAATACATATGTATAATATCAGTTAAAATAAGTGCTTAAACATACAGTAGTTAGCATTGGAGGAAAGCAATATAGTAGTACTTTGTCAGGCTTAATATGTATACCCCCAACGCTTTTTTCTTATTCAAAATAAGACCTTAGCCTAAAGTATTCTTTAATGTTTAAATAAAGCCTTATTAGTTTGTCTGTCTGTGTCTCCTATTAATATCTAATAATATAAATAATACATTTCAATAACGTGCTTTAACCACCAGGTGTCCCTTTCTATCAGCTGTGCGCCGTTATGGTGTAAATATACCAATATACCGATTGGATCAAATATAAAAGTCAGCCGAATTAGTATTGATACTGCAAGGAGACTTATATTGTGAAGAGAAATTGAAGATGTTGTTTAATTGCTGATATATGTATGATCCACCTCACATATTCAGTTTCGGCGGCAGTTCTTCCTGTTTGTCTAGAAGTCTTCTCATCAGAGATCTATAAATAAAGAACTACGGCAGATATGTCATATTTAATGCAGCCAAACCATGTATTACAATGCCGTTATGTGATGACCTCCTAAGAGAAAAGCAAGCAAACTTGGAATAAAGTGTTATTTTATTTAAAAAAAACGTTTTCGGATTTCACATCAACAGGAAGTCCGGTTAACTAAAATGTCCGTGTGGAACAATACCCATAGATCTGTGGGTTAATAATGTCAATCACCACATTACACACATCCCTTCACATTTACATTTACATTAAAGTATTTCGAGGCCTTCTAAAATGTTTTTAAATATAATTAGGGTTGTAGTTGAAGATTTTGTAACGGACAACGGCACGTCCATTAATTCCACAACCACACACATGGATTAACATCGATTTAATACATTAATGTAGCCTTTGTTTCTGCTAAAAGAGGTGTCGACCAGCTGGGGCAACAAGAACATCGGCGAAATTAACCGTCGGGGAGCGTTCTCATGGCGTCTATTATCAACGCTATGGGAGGTCTATGAAGGTCTATGGGACGCCCTGCCCATTGAAAACTGACTCACAAGGGGTACCTTGTCCGTAATAGAGTGACAGGGAGGGGCCCTGACCGACCGTCAACATGTGACGGGTTGGGAGTGAGAACGTGTTGCTGGGTCAGTAGGCATCTTACCCCCCCCTGGAACATAGGGCGCTTATGTTTTCCCATGCGCCTTAGGGACCCGGGAAACGTAGTATGCTGTAAACCCTGTACAGGACTGGAGGATGCTCCTCGCCTTCCTCACTATTTTCCATGACTCTACACAAGGTAAGCGTGTGTGAGTGTGGGGACCAAAAGCCAGTCAGGGGCAGTGTGGTGGGTCGATGTTGTTGAACGACAGGGCGTTTATCCATCAGGGCTCCACCCACTGTACCCATAGAGTCCAGTAGAGGGTGGAGCCTGTGTGAAATATAACGGGGGGTTACGTATTGTAACCTTAGTTATATAAGCACAGGCGGAGCCCTCTACCTACGGGCCCTGTCTTTCCTATGCCGCTCGCTGAAGAGGTTGTAGGATGACAGGCAGGAGGCGTACCTTCTATACTGTGGGCCTGCGCGCGCATTCAGGTAGGCTCGCCCAGATTGGCCGGCTATGTTTATGCAACTCAGTATGTGAATGCTCGCATAGCATGGTTAAGGGTAGTACCCATAGAGTCCAGTAGAGGGCTCCGCCTGTGCTTATATAACCAGGGTTACAATACGTAACCCCCCGTTACACTCTACAGGTGGAAAAGTCAGAAAGGAAGGATGGGATGTATGGAAGAGAGAAAGAAAGCAGGAAGGAAAAGAGATATGGAGGATTCAAAATGAATGGGGAAAAGGGAAGAAACAAGAAGTAGGGGATGGGATGGAAGAAGGATGTAACAAATATGAAGAGATTGAAAGATAGCCTGGAGGAAAAACTATAGGAGCAGAGTAAATGAAGAGAAGGAAAAATAAGAGGTCAGATAGAGGTGATGACAGTCCAAAATAAATCATAGTGACCCAGCTTCGCACGCATCACACATCTGGGGATTTGAATTGTTATTTCAGTTTAATAAAGATTACAACATTTAAAAACCTTTTGATGTTCACAAAGCAATTTTTTAAAATACAAGTGGAAACTAAGGCTGCTGCTCTGAGCTCCTGATATTGGTGGAGATACGAGGTCTTAGCACAACCAACTGTCAAGGGGTAAGTTTACCTGAGGCGTTTGGAAGGGCTTCACTTGAATCTCAGAAGCTTTCCTATGTGCATGCATGGTAATGTGTGACAGACTATGATGGAAATGTTTAATAGGATGATATCTGCCCCGGGGCCACAGAGGCATGAAGGCAGCAGGAACACAGTCTCTCTGTCATGGTTCTGAGTTCTCCTTTTTAACTTTTCATTCTTATTTTCTTTGCTTGTCTGTGTTCTGTCTCAGAGTGGTGCAGTGAAGACGTATTTTTGTTGGCCAACCCGGAAGTTAGCATTGGCAAAGGGCTCCGTCAACAAAAAGTACTAGGATTTTTCCATTTGATTTCTGTATGTTGCAGAAAATAAGCTCTTTGGCAAACACACATTCATGATACTTAAAACGTTATGTTCAGCAGTATAATCTCCAAATATTAATGCCACTTCGTGCATAGTAAAAAGCTAACGCTATGCTATAAACAAACTATATCATGGTCACATGGCATAAGAAGGCTAATGTCAGCGTGGTGACGTTTCGTAGTTTATTTAGATACTTGTTAGCAACCTCCCTTTTTATGACAACAACTTCTGACATTTACTAGTGAAGAAGAAGAAGAATTGGGAGGGATGAAACCTTCTCTAATGGTCACACATGCAGAGCACAGCACACACAGTGACATTTTGTCTCTGCTTTTAACCCATCCTAGGAGTAGTGGGCTATTGTACAGCGCCCGGGAGCAATGGGGGTGAGGGGGGTTGTCCGGTGCCTTGCTCAAGGGCACCACGGCAGGGCAGGAGGTGAACTGGGACCTCTCCAAGTAGCAGTCCAAACTCCATATTTAGGTCTGGTCAGGGACTTGAACCGGCAACCCTACGGCTCCCAGTCCAAGCCCCTACTGACTGAGCCACTGCCGGGGTATTTATGTGAGAAAAAAAATGTGAAAATCTCTTGGGTTTCAACCACAGACCTCACTTCAGGCTTCTAATCACAAACACGTAAAAAAAGACCCCATTTACTTAAGGAAAAGGGAACTTGAAGTGGTAAAATGCCAACTTGTTTCCGGTTTTTAGGCCTTGTTTCTGCACCACTCTATTCCAGACCCGGCCCCCGTCAGTAGATGTCCTCCACCAGCTCAGACTCTCCTCTCACCCACTCCTCAGTCCACTGCCAGATTGTCTTTGTGCCATGAGCCTTTCCAGCATTTCATTCCAAAGCCCTCCAGTCCCTGTCTTCTGCCTGAGTTTTAGACCTTTTACTGTTTTCCCCCGGACTATGATTTAGCTTAGCCCTTTACCTAGTTAGCCTGCCAGCATTTTTAGCATCTTTGCGACTCTTTTTGTAAGTAAAGACTCTCTTCTTTGGGTTATTTTGTCCTTGTACTGACACTCTGGTCCTTTCCTCTCCTGTATCTCTCTCCTGTCGCAGATTGTCAGGCTTGAACAGCATGGATTTAATCAACCGTATTAACCTTCCTTTACATTACTTTTACATTTTTATACATCAGAACATTTCATTTTTTTATTTGAGCTTTCCACATTCAGGGACCATAAAATACTTTTAATTTGTAGAAAAATATCCTTATTGAGCTTCCGGAGACAACACAGACGACCTTGCTAACTGACTCAGATTGTTTGGGCAACTCAATGAACGGTGCTTCATTGAAATGCTACCTCAGATCGTGATGCGCTTTCAAAAAGCCTTATCTGCTGGAGAGAAAGCATGAATAACCATGGGTAGCGGATTTTGAAGCCGCCCCAGCTCGGGAGCAGGTCTCTGCTTAGTGCTGATTCTCAGGAAGCACACTATGACCCCCCCGGTGGGAACTGGTTCATAAGTTAGCCACCTGTTGTTTCGTTCTGTCAATTAAAAGGTTGAAACAGCAGCGTACCTTCACGTGTCCACCGAACGTGTCGAAGTCGAAGAAGTTGCAGGCCTCGTTGCCGTAGCAGCCGGGCTCCATCTCTCCACGGATCAGGATGTTACGAGTCAGCAGGCCCACCTCCGCCCTCATGTCCACCCCATCTACTTCCTCACCCATGTGGATGAACTTGGCCTTACCTTCACACACAAACACACAAACACACCAATTGCAAAGGAGGAGGACATAATGCTGAGGCAAAAATCATACAGTATATGTGCAGCTAGCACTTATAATTATGTTGACAGACAGTAAAACGATGATTATTTTTCTACAGTTTGCAAAAATTAACCACCATAAGCTACTGGTCATGACCATACTAATGAGACTGTAGCATCACAATTCTTCAGTTATGTTAGGTATTGTAAATTCTTCTTTTAAATGTCTCATTCTAGCTGAGTATCTGAAAACATGTAGGTTCTGACGGAGAAGCTAACGCTAACTAGCATTAGCTCGAGCAGCTACAGCACAGAGCTGTTCACAGTACCGTTATCATATTCACTCAGATATCCAAACTTTGTAACGCTTTACTTAAAATAGATGTATCAGTATTAGTATAAGCTGTTAGCACTTAACATAAAAGACTAAAGTTCCTATCTGCATGTCAACATAATTTTAAATATTTCACTGATGACTCTTTGGTTAACTTTTTTTAATTAAATGTCTTATAGAATTCTAACATTCCTTAAATGTCCTTTCTAATATTAGCAATGGTTATTGCCTTTCAAAGCCATATAAAACTTGATATTTCTTCTGGTATCATCAGATCTCAGACCTAAATCTCATGGTGAATCGCTTTGCTTTATAAAGCTAGGTAAATGTCAGGATATAAATAGAATAATGCTAAATCCTTTACTGCTTTAACCAGTTAAGCCCGAGCCTGTTTTTCAGGTCTCAGGCTCGGAAATGACATTCCCACAACAAATGACTATATCTTCACTTCTAAAAGGGTTAAATTAATAATCTTTATTCTCAAAGCAATGATACAAATAGAATTTTTTTATTTGAAAGTAAATTCAGATTGAACACAGTAAAACAATGTAAATGATAGTGTCCGTCCCAAAAAAAAACATTACTTATAGTGAAAACCACCCTTGAATGATGGGATAGTAGACTAAAAGCTTTAGGAATCCAAACTATAATATATAATTAGTACCCTGTATCAACATTGATGCAAAACAAGTGACATTTGACCTTTTTAGAGAGATTTAGAAGAAAAAAAACACTTGACACCTCTTTTAAACCGTTAGAGCCATTAGAGTCGAGGGGAAGTTCCTAAAATCCATCTAAACACTACCCATTGATGAATGAGTAATAAATAGCCAAAATGCCCGGAACCGGAAGCTGTCATACACTCTCATACCTATCATAGCAGCTATATATGAAAACTCTGTTGACATAAATATGATGATGGATTATCAGTAATCATTTAAAACTGACAGAGACACATTGGATTAACCTTCAGCAGCGTTTTTATCGTTTTAATGCCATTGAACACAACTTTTGATCAGAAAACAGCAAAGGTAAGATGTTTTTTGCCGTTTTGGCTCCGTAAAGCTAAGTTGTTTGTTGTCTGGTTTTACATTCGCTGCCCTGAGTTTTTGTCGCACAGTGATGATACTTATACCTCTAGAATCTGTGGAATCTCAGCTTTCATGTGATATTTTGTTTGTGCAGATGCGATAAGTAATACAGTATCTGTCACGATCTGTCTTTGTGGTGTTGTGTCTTGTCTAGATCTGTTTTTGGTTTTCTGTCTGCGTTGTGTTTTGTCTTGTTTGGATCTGTCTGTGGTTCCCTGTCGTTAGTTTCCCTGGTGTGTCTGATTACCCGATTGTGTTCACCTGTGGCCCCTGTGTTTTCTCCTCCCTCCTCACCTGTGTCTTGTTTGTGTGATTAGTCTTGTGTGTATTTAAGTTCTGGTTTTTCTGTCTGTCTTTGTCGGTTCGTCTTTTGTTGTTGACTGTGTTCACCGGTGAGTGTTCTGTCTGTCCAAGTTCTATTTCATTATCCTTGAAATAAAGGCATTATCAGTTTAATCTGCATTTGGGTCCTGCTTCCTTCGCTCTACCGTGACAGAACGAACCGACCACAAAATTGACCCAGCAGATGATTCATGGGAGGTTGAATTACAGCATTTAACTTTCTATCTGGCTTGCTGCTTCGATTTGGTGGAAGGGAACGTCCAGTGTTCGGCAGAAGAGGGCCGCTCTGGTAGAGGCGCTCCGGTTGGCAGCAGAGAAACCATGTTTTGTTGAGTTTTTACCTGACTGGATTTTGGACTTCCTTCAAGCATGTGATTCCATGCATGCTAGCTCCCTGTCTCCCAATTCCCAACCTGGCACCATACGCCTTGGTGGGTTCCGCCTGAAGTCAACCCGTGCTTCTTCCCCAGTTCCTGCTCCTGTCCAGGAGTCGTATTCCGGAACTCGTCAGGCTTATGGAGGTCCACGGAGTATTCAGGAGGCTGCTAAGAGGAGTCGTCGCAAGGCCAGGCTAGCAGCCCGAGCCCCAGCAGCCATGGTTCCGTGCTCCAGTACCATCCCACATAGCCATGGTACCGTGCTCCAGTACCACCCCACACAGCCATGGATCCGTGTTCCGGTTCCTTGCCCAGCAGCCATGTTTCCGGCTCCAAAACCGGCCCACACAGCCATGATCCAGGCTTCAGAACTGGATCTTACAACCGTGGTCCCTGCACCAGAGCTGGCCCATACAGCCATGGTTCCGGCCCCAGTTCCAGCCATGGTTCCGGCTCAAGTACCGACTCCAGCAGTCATGGTCCCGACTGCAGCACCTCGTCTCCTGCTGGCTCCCCAGCCGACGCCAGCTCCCCGAGTCTTGTCGGCGTACCGGCCGACTCCAGCACCTCGTCTCCTGTTGGCTCTTCAGCCAACGCCAGCTCCCCGTGTCCTGTCGGCGTACCGACCGACACAAGTTCCCTCTCAAGTCCCCTCTCAAGTTCCTACCCGAGTCCCCTCTCAAGTTCCTACTCGAGTCCCCTCTCCAGTTCCTACCCGAGTCCCCTCTCGAGTTCCCTCTCGGGTCCCCTCTCGAGTCCCCTTTCGAGTCCCCTCTCGAGTCCCCTCTCCAGTCCCCTCTCGAGTCCCCTCTCGAGTCCCCTCTCGAGTCCCCTCTCCAGTCTCCTCTCAAGTCCCTTCTCGAGTCCCCTCTCAAGTCTCCTCTCCAGTTCCTTCTCCAGTTCCCTCTCAGGTCCCCTCTCGAGTCCCTTCTCGAGTCCCCTCTCTAGTCACCTCTCAAGTTCCTACCCGAGTCCCCTCTCGAGTCCCCTCTCGAGTTCCCTCCTTTAGTCCCTCCTCTAGTCCCTCCTCTAGTCCCCTCTCTAGTCCCTCCTTTAGTCCCTCCTTTAGTCCCCTCTCTAGTCCCTCCTTTAGTCCCCTCTCTAGTCCCTCCTCTAGTTCCCCTCGCGAGTCCCCTCTCGAGTTCCCTCCTCTAGTCCCTCCTCTAGTCCCTCCTCCAGTTCCCTCCTCTAGTTCCTCCTCTAGTCCCTCCTCTAGTCCCACCTCTAGTCCCCTCTCTAGTCCCTCCTTTAGTCCCCTCTCTAGTCCCTCCTTTAGTCCCCTCTCTAGTCCCTCCTCTAGTTCCCCTCGCGAGTCCCCTCTCGAGTTCCCTCCTCTAGTCCCTCCTCTAGTCCCTCCTCTAGTCCCCTCTCTAGTCCCTCCTTTAGTCCCTCCTTTAGTCCCCTCTCTAGTCCCTCCTTTAGTCCCCTCTCTAGTCCCTCCTCTAGTTCCCCTCGCGAGTCCCCTCTCGAGTTCCCTCCTCTAGTCCCTCCTCTAGTCCCTCCTCCAGTTCCCTCCTCTAGTTCCTCCTTTAGTCCCTCCTCTAGTCCCACCTCTAGTCCCCTCTCTAGTCCCTTCCCAAGTCCCTTCTCTAGTCCTTTCTCAAGTCCTTTCTCAAGTCTCTCCTCTAGTCTCTCCTCTAGTCCCATCTCTAGTCTCATCTCCAGTCCCTCCTTTAGTCCCTTCTCAAATCCCAACTCTAGTCTCATCTCAAGTTCCCTCGCGAGTCCCCTCTCCAGTTTCCTCTCAAGTCCCCTCTCGAGTTCCCTCTCAAATCCCTTCTCGAGTCCCCTCTCGAGTTCCCTCGCCAGTCCCAACTCAAGTCCCTACTGAAGTGCCATTGGAGGTTCCGCTGGGGCTCCTGCCAACTCCATGTTCTGTCCCGTTGGGGGTCCCGCTGACTACTCTCCTGCCGGGGGTCCTGCCAATCCTATGTCCAGTCCTGTTGGAGGTCCCGCCGACTACTCTCCTGCCGGGGGTCCTGCGAACCCTTTTTCCTGTCCCGTTGGAGGTCCCGCCATCTACTCTCCTGCCGGGGGTCCTGCCAACCCCTTGTCCTGTCCCGTTGGAGGTCCCGCCGTCTACTCTCCTGCCGGGGGTCCTGCCAGCTCCTTGTCCTGTCTCGTTGGAGGCCCCGCCGACTACTCTCCTGCCGGGGGTCCTGCCAACCCTATGTCCTGTCCTGTTGGAGGTCCCGCCGTCTACTCTCCTGCCGGGGGTCCTGCCAACCCCTTGTCCTGTTCCGTTGGAGGCCCCGCCATCCTCTGTCTCGCCGGGGGTCCTGCCAATCCCGTGTCCTGGTCCTCTTCCGTGGGGGATCCTGCCGAGGCCTGTCCCACCAGCTCCGGTTCCTGTCCGGCCGACACCGGGTCCTGCCCGGCCTCCGGCGCTGGCCGTCAGCGCCTTCCTGCCCGGCCTCCAGAGCTCTCTGGTCTTCGCCCTCGAGCCCGGCCCCCTGAGAGCCGCGGTCTTTGCCCTCGATCCCGGCCCTCTGTGAGCCGTGGTCTTCGCCCGCGATCCCGGCCCCCTGACTCTTCCTGCCGCTGCCCTCGTCCTCGAGCCCGGCCCCCTGACTCTTCCTGCCGCTGCCTTCACCCTCATGCTCGGCCGCCCGAGTCCCCCACCTTAGACTCTGCCTTGCCCCCGGGCCGTCCGCCCGAATCCCCCTTTTTTAACTCTGCCTTGCCCCCGGGCCGTCCGCCCGAGATCCCTTCCTGGTCCTCTGCTGTGCCTCTGGGCGGTCAGCTCAGTCCCGTCCTCCTGACCCCCTCCACCCACCCTGGTGGCCTAGTGATACTGTGTTGTTGACTGTGTTCACCGGTGAGTCTGTCCAAGTTCTA